CTGACGAACACCACCTGGCCAGTGAGTTAAGACATGTACATCGGGCCCTCAGGATGAACGGATACTCTGACCGCACCATCCACCAAGCTGTTTCTCCCACCATACAGAAACAGCCACTTGAAACTCTGATCAAAACTATCACGTTGCCATACATAGCAGGCGTGACCAAAAAGATCTCCAAAATTCTTAACAAACATAAGATCCAAGTCCGATTCAGTACAATACATAAAATCCGTAATCTAATTCCATCTGTGAAGGATGGCATTCCTGACTTGCAATACCCTGGAGTCTATAAACTGAGTTGCAGCTGTGGTTATTGTTACATTGGGGAAACGAAACGTCATGTCTCTGATCTTTTTTCTCTCTCTCTGGCTTTTTTGTTTTCTCTCTCTGCCTGTGTCCTCTCTTTGGAATTTTCACACTTAAATTCTAACTTAGCAATCTTTGAAATACATAATCAACCGGGCTATGCGTTAATTGTGTGTTGACCGACTCTCTGTGTTGCATTACATTACATTTCGATATTTTACTAGGTTATTTAATTTTAGTGTGTCTTTCTCCTAATTTTCAAGCTTGCGTACCGTACCACGTCGTCGTCTTGCTTACCGTACCACGTCGTCGTCCACTCATTGACATGCTAATTTTTTCTCTGCCCCCTCCCTCTCTCCGCCCCCGCCCCCTCTCTATATTTAAGGCCTCGTCACAGAAACGACCTCTCTCTTTGTGCTGATACGTGTTCTCTCTCTCTGTGTGTCTTTGTGATGTCTGTCTGCTTGTATGTCTGTCTATAGTTTTCTGGTTAGATTTTTGTTGCTATTTCTTTTATACCTGATGAAGATTGCTTGTGTTGCAATCGAAACGTCGTAGTATGCTATAATTTAATTTATTATTTTATCTTTATACGTGACTTTACCGAAAGAACCAAAGAATATTCTTTGGTTTTTTCGGTTAAGTCACGTAAGTAAAACATCAAAATAAAAATAAAATAAAAATCACGACGTTTCGGAGGCAACACAAGTCTCCGTCATCAGGTGGGACCGTCACAGCCGAATTAGCTGCATCAAGTGAAGCAATGATTCAAGATGTAATCCCTTATAAGCAAGTTGAAGGGAGGTGACGGTCCCACCTGATGACGGAGACTTGTGTTGCCTCTGAAACGTCGTGATTTTTATTTTTATTTTATTTTTATTTTGATGTTTTACTTACGTGACTTAACAAAAAAAAACCTAAGAATATGAATCTTTGCAGTCACGAAAGCTTCAAATCTAGAACCAAAGAATAGTCTCTGATCGTGTCCGCGAGCACAATTCAGATCTGAAACATGGCAAAATTGAGTCTTCGCCATTGCCGATCATTGCTACAACGCTGTTGGCTCTCATCTTTTCCGAGACAAAGGTGCTCTGCAAACCTTCTGGTTACCATCAAAGGGTTGTACACGAAGCCATCCAGATATACAAACAGACATAATTTCAACCGTGATGATGGGCACAAACTGAGTAATCATTGGAAAGATGTTATTAACCATGCAAAAAAGATTTAACTACACAATTTTGGACCATCTTATTTGACAGGTACTATTCTACTTTACCGAGTGTTGACATCCCCAGCATTTAACAGTACTCTCCTTTCTGTATTTGGATTGTAAACCAACACTGGGTAAAACAACAACATGTGCACCTGTCGTTCTTTTCTAGCATGTGCACCTGTCATTCTCTTAGAGCATGTGCACCTGTTGTTCTCTTTTAGCCCCCCCCCCAAATCGTTCCATTCATTGGCTACCACATTCAGATAAGCCCCTCCCCCCCTCCTCCCCCCTTAACTTGTATTTAAGAACTTGTATCTTGGAATTTTTGCCTCACTTGATACAGTAAATCTAGTTGTGACGGTCCCACCTGATGATGGAGACTTGTGTTGCCTCCGAAACGTGATTTATTATTTTATTTCTATTATTACTTCTATGAATTTAATTATTTTATCCTATTGCAGCCGGATCGGCTGGATTTTTCATCAGGGAGGGGGGTCATGTAATGCGAACGTAAATGGGGTTGCTGCTGGACTCTGGCCCAATCACACAGCCCGGTGTATTGGGGGCGGAGCCCGGTATGGGGGGCGTGTGGGAGGTGCCGCCGTTCACCTCGGCTCCAATGGGAAGCGAGGTGAATGGAGGTGGAGCCAGAAGGGCAGTATGGGAAGGCCGGATCTGACGATCCGGAAGGGGAGGAATCAAGGTCACGTGGGAGAGAGGATATAGAGGGGAGCCCGGGAGAGATCGGGGGAGTTGTTGGAGTGAAGAAGCGGGACCACGTTGGGTGGCCGCCGCGCCATCAGCCACGTGGCTGATGGGGCTTCAACACACCGTCGGCCAGCAGTGTGCGGAGCGGGGAGAAGCGGAGCGATTGACGGGAGAGCGCGTGCGGGGCACGCGCGAGAAGGAGCTGACGGGAGAGCGTGTGTGGGGCGCGCGCGAGGAGGAGCTAACGGAGGAGCATGCGGGGCACGCAAGAGGAGCGTGCGCGGCACGCGAGAGGAGCGTGCGCGGCACGCGAGAGGAGCGTGCGGGGCACGCGAGAGGAGCGTGCGTGGCACGCGAGAGGAGCGTGCGTGGCACGCGAGAGGAGACGCTGGTCCCTTGTCAGGACCAGCGGGGTGTGAGGAAGAGTGGAGGTGCTGAGGAGAAGCACTGCGGGGCGTGCGCGAGACGACGCTGGTCCGCGGAGGAGACCAGTGGGGTTCAGAGAAAGAACTTGAATAAAAGACAAACGGAGACCAGCAGTGCCTGACGGAGTCTTTTATTACACCTACGAGTATGTATAGAATATTTGTAAGGAGTCCCCCAATAGACTGTCCCTGGAACTCTACCAGGCACGTCTCACTGGGGGACATCCCAGGGGCCTGGCCCAGGACATTCTGGTGGGATTGTCGCTTGACTGGCTTTGGGAACGCCTGGGAATTCCCCAGGAAGAGCTAGAGTCTGTCGCCAGGGAAAGGGAGGTCTGGACTGCCCTACTGCATGTGCTGCCACCACAAACCTCACCAAGACAAGAGGATTTTGAAATAAATGAACGAATAGAGCTGTAATTCTTCTTGGCCACAGATATTACTCCTTTCTCTGTGGATGCAAAATATGAACTTATTTTAAGGCCTGTCTGTTCTGGCTTTTAATTAAGGCTGGCCTGGCGATGATCCCCTCTATTGAACCAAACAAAATTGTATTAAAACCTTACAGAGCCCTAAAATATCAGTACTGAATATAATCTGAGACTTTGGCAGGCGAGGCTGCATTGGTTGGGTCATTAATTCCGCATAAACAGACAATGCTCAAGCATCTTCTGTTAGCCCAGATGTTACGAGCTAAACGGGCATGGCATTGGTTAGAGAAGAGATTGGAGAATGTGGAGTTGATCAGACCTGCTGTCAAGATCGGTCTCTAGAAAAGGCCCGTGACGTATGCTGCAGGGCAGTTGGAGGTATTTGCTCTGCAACAACAATGAGGTTGGAGTAGCAACGCTCACATGAATGGGTGGAACGCTGGGTGCCTGAAATGTCGCAAGACAGGAGGAAGCACAGCTGGTGCATCTGTTAATCATCTCAGTCAGTCATCCCTTGACACCTGGATCATTCCCTTGACACCTGGATCATTCCCATGACCTGCTGACAAGTGATCCACACTTACATGGCATTCATGTGAAATATATGTGTATGTAAGAGTTTATCTATGTGGGGAGCGGTGGAGCAGTTATTCCACTGTGTAACAAAAAAAAAATTTGTTCCTGGGTAGTTTGTGTTATTTCCTAATTGCTTTTGCCTCCAAAGTAAAAAAATGGCTATTATTCCCCACAAACTTTGCTTTTGTGACCAGGACAGTGATATTTAGAAATTTACCTCTTTTCAATGAGAAAACAGGTTAATTCGTTTTTTTAGTTCTTATATAATTCTGGTCACAAAAGCAATGTTTGTGGGGAATAAGCCATTTTCTAGACTTTTAGGCATAAGCAATAAAAAAAATTAACACTTAGTACCCAGGAACAAAAATTGTGTTATATAGTGTTATCACAATTAAAGTTTGATTATCGCCGACAACAAACGTGATTGATTCGTGAAAACATAACTTATTGTGGGGAAGCATTATTACGGAGCATATGAAGGTGGCCAGGCATGGTTCTGAACACACCACCATTTTTTTACCATGCCAGTGTGTGTTACAGTGTCAAGTTTGTATTTGACGTAAAGTATATTAACTCGATTGAACACGGAGGTTAAATCAAAACAATAGTTTATTTTTGTTTTCCTTTGGAACTTTTTACGAGAATGGAAACAGGAAATTAACACTGAACATATGCAGCTGAAGTTAGATCTGTTCATCCCAGCATTCAAGGATATCTGAGCCTGGCTTCACACCTTTAAGTTGTGATTGAACATTAATTTATGCATTTATGCAAAATACAAATAGTATTATTTTCAACACCCTTTGCTGTGTTAGCTGAATTTTGCTTTCATAAATATTCCTTTTGTAGCCAGACAACCGAAATTGTGTGCTTGGAGTTTTAGGTTAACATTCATTTTGAAGATACTAGGGCTTCCAGGCTGATCATTTGCCCTCTCATTGTGTGCCCGTGTGATGAATTTGGGAATCCTTTTCACTCTATCATGAATATATGAATGAGTATAGACGTGCAAGTCATGTGTGACTGTGTATATATGCATTCCTTTGTGCCTCGATACTGACGTAGATGGTCTGGATATTCTTTTTTTCTGTCTGCAGCTGACGCTTCCTCTGACACTTTCTCTGCAAAATTGGTTTGATGGAGCAAAGGCACTCAGTGCAGCTCGGTAGAAAAAGGCAACAATGCAACCAGTGTGCATATAGCACGGATCATGTTGGACATCTGACACAGCACCAGAGAACTCACACAGGAGAGAAACCCTTCAAGTGCAGTGTGTGTAGGAGGGCCTTTGTCAATTTCATCAACTTTTAAAAAAACACTTTAGAACACACACAGGAGAGAGAAACCCTTCAAATGCCCTGTGTGTGACAAGGCATTTACACGGTCATCAGGTCTTTATAGACACCAGAGAACACACACAGGAGAGAAACTCTTCACGTGCACTGTGTGCTGGAAGGGGTTTTCACAGTCATCCGGTCTTGTATCACACCAAAGAACACACACGGGAGAGAAAGCCTTTAGGTGCACTCTGTGCGGGAAGGCGTATGCACAATTACAACATCTACAAAAACACCAGAGAACACACACGGGAGAGAAACCCTTCAATTGCACTCTGTGTGGGAAGGTGTTTGCACAATCACAACATCTACAAAATCACCAGAGAACACACACGGGAGAGAAACCCTTCAGGTGCACTGTGTGTGACAAGGCATTTTTAAATTCATCAGTTGTGAGGAAGCACCAGAGAACACACACGAGAGAGAAACCCTTCAGTTGCACTCTATGTGAGAAGGCGTTTGCACAGGCCTCTGCTCTTGTATTACATCAGAGAACTCACACGGGAGAGAAATCCTTCAGGTGCACTGTGTGTGACAAGGAATTTTTATATCCATCAGTTCTAAGGAACCACCAGAGAACACACACGGGAGAGAAACCCTTCAGTTGCACTCTGTGTGAGAAGGCGTTTGCACAGTCATCAAGACTTAAACATCACCAGAGGACACACAAGCATCAGAAGATCCCCAAGAAATGGAGTCTGAAATCGGCTTGTGAAAGTCAAAGTGCTGCAATGAGCCCATCCCTCATGAAACCAGAAGTAAATCCCAGCTTGGACACTTTTAAAGGTATCAAGGTGAAATGTGAAGAAGTGATGGTGAAGAGCGAAGAAGTGAAGGTAAAATGTGAAGATGAAGATTCAACTCCAAAATCGTACCTTCACATCTATGGAGGCAACATGAAGCAGGAGGAGAATTCTGACTGTGAGGCAGAGCGAGGCAACTCCCAGCAGTTTGTGGAAGTGGAGGTGTGGGTGGACTTCTTAGACAATATAAAGTCAAATGGAGACCCGGTAGATGGGTAGGCTTGAGACAATGAAGCTCCAATAGATTCACCTTTGTCACAGGCCTTTAATGAAAAGAACGTGAAGTTGAACACTCAATTCCTGGGTTCAACCTGCAGAGTAAGAGCGGCGAGTATTTGTTGACCTGTGGGTTGGGTAGATGAATAATCAGGATCAAGAGCCAATAAGCTCCCAAGAATTCCACTGTTATATTCATATTTGCATTGATATGGTGCTTGCTTAATTTCTTCAGCAACTCGGTTGTTTCATATCTCATCACAGACACTCGAAGAGCACCCCCAAGTGGCATGACTCTTGTGTAATAAGGTGACCCTGCTCTAGCCTGCATGTGGGCATGAGTCTGTCAGTAGGGGGTGATGATCGATGTGGAATCTCCATTATGTAATTTCTGGATAATGTTTGGAATTGCCCAAATATTGACCATGACACCAACATGCAATGACCTCTGTATTATGAATGACAATAGTATGTTTTACATCCACTGTTAAGCAGATTGTGCATATTTTGTTTAATGTTACTGGAGTAGCCAGACGTGCATGTCGGATTTGAACCTTGAACCTCTGCAATAAATAGAGAATGTGCTGCCACTTGGCTTCCCTCAATCTGAGTGTAGGCATGACACCCTGAATATTTCTAACTGGCGCAGATGTTCCATTTAGAGGGGTCCACGTTTCACATGCCTACAGAAGGGAGGGCATGACTGGCCGAGAAGAACCGAAGCTTCCACACAGCATAGCGCAGCCGATGGAATGATAATGCCGCCCGATTGATTCGGACCACCCACACACAGTGTACACACGCAGTGTACCCACAAGATCTACACACACCATGTACACAGCATACACACAGTTTACCCACAGTATACAAACAGTCTGTACACGCACAGTGTAAACACACAGTAACAACAACCGCCATTCGCCACTAAGTGGCGGTGACGTCACCACGGCGCTTGTGCCAGGCTATGTGCAAGGGGCAGATCCAGGTATCATGCGTCGACTGACTGAGATGACTGGCCAATGCACCACCTGTGCCCCCGACTGCGCCAACAAACAGTGTACACACACAATGTTGACGCACACAATAATGTTCACGTTGTTTTTGTTGAGCTCACGCACCCAATGGGTCTCTGTTCAAGAGAGGGAGCCATAGAAATGGAATCTAAATAAACTTAAACTCTAACCCTGATCTCGCTCTCTGACGTCACCACTCATTAACTCTGCGTGAGACGCGAGGGGGAGGTGTCACCCACTAGTGACGTCATGTCTTTTACCCCCCCAAATCCCCCTCCACCGGGATTTTGAGCGTGACGTCACGTCTGCCGATTTCCGTTCCAGTAAAGTGCTTATTTGGGACGGGGTCAGCAGCCAAGCACCATCACCTGACATGGGCCCCTCTCATTAACATAATTTATTCAGTTACCCTGCTGCTCGTTGGGTGAGGGAATTGTGTATACCCCGCAAATGACGTCATGTAACCTCATGCTGCTGCATGACGTCATGAGCTACCAGGTTGCTGCAACTGCGCGCACGCTCACTCACTGAGATCCGAGGTGAGAAGTTTACATCGTGGTGGTTGTTGTGGTGGTTGTTGTTGTTGTGAACCCAGGTAGAGCCTCGCTCCTACTCCCTCGTAGGGATATCAATTGAGTAGCAGCGAGTACGGAATCGATGTCCAGGATGAAACATTACAACGCGGGGCCTAGCCATACGGGGACTTGCCTCCTGCCCTCGCCTGATTATATTTGCATTAATTCTCTGCTTAAGTTTAATTTGTCTTCACCTGGCTCACTACTTTGAAACTTTGTTTTACTTGAAATATTTCTACGTTTTTATTTTACCAGGCATAGCCCACTTGAGCTACACCGCTCGTTTTCAGAAGCGACCTGCCCACAACACAGTGGGCTTATCAACTTGTGGAAATGTTTATCGGTCAAATTCTCTAAACGCGTGGTGATGTTGACTCTAAATGTGCAGGGAAAACCGCAGGATCCAGAGGAGAATCCACGCGACTACGGAGATAGAGGGACGCGCAAACTCCAAATATACAGCCATAATACAGGTTTGTTTGGGATTGATCGCGTAAATAAATAAATGTGCCGTTAACCCCGCCACCACCCGACAGCCAATTAGTAAGGGGTTTGTCACGTAAACAGAACGTGGCCAATGCGTCACCAGTACAGCACTAGTGTGTAGTGTGTAGTAATGTATAGTGTAGTGTATAGTGGTGTATAGTGTAGTGTACTAGTACAGCATATAGGACTCACCACTGTGATCTCTACATTGGGTCAAACTTAACATCTCTGAATGTTCGACGGCTTGTGCACCAGATCTTATTTATTCATGATGTACTTGCAAAAAAATCTGCAGATTACCTGCTGGATCTCGTCTCTGTTTCAAAGAACAAATTTGACCTAAGGTCTACACTCATTTACCAGCTTAATATTCCCTATTGCCGTACATATACTGGAGGAAGGGCCTTTGCTATTGATGCCCCCAGGGTCTGGAATGCTGTTGCAAATAAATTGAAACTTGAGTCACTACCTATGAGATCTTCACTCAAAACTGCTTTAGAGGAGTTGTACACCCCTAGCTGCCAGTGCTATTCAGTGACCTAAAATAAAATGTTTCGCTCCGGATGATCGCTACAAAGTATGACCTGTGTTTTGATTTAGTGTGCTGATCTTAAAGGTGCATTGAAAAATTACAATACTCCGATTGATGCTCCTGCTGTTGTGGAGTGACTCATGCAGCCAGCTATGGCTGCAGGGTTTTGGTAGTACATGTTGTTTATGCCATTTATTGTGAAAATTCCGTCAGTTCCTATGATTGCTTTTTCATTGCCTTCATGGCTTTATTTTGGTGATTTCGAAAAGTGTATTGGTTTAGCCATGTTTGTGTTGTTGTAGTACAGAGTTAGACTGATGGCCTTAATCTAAGTTGTCTTGTGGTTGTTGTTGTTGTTTGACTTGCATCCCACTGGGATTTTTGCACACAGCGTTGGTGTACGGTGTTTTTTCTGCAATATTTTTGCTGTCTTTTCTTGGATTTTCTGTTTGCACTTAGTCACATATTCACTTTAAGATGTTTTTTTGTTCATGTTTTTGTTTTTTGTTTGTTGCGGTTGCACCCGATTCAAGAGCTGAATGGCTCACAGGGCTATACCTAATAAATGAACTTGAACTTGTGTTGAAGAGCCAAGCCACAACATTTACAATCTGAGTACAACGTTTTGACACTAATTCCAACCAGCTTCATCAGACGACAGCCACATGTTGTGGCTTGGCTCTGTGGGAATAGAAATCGGCTCGCTGGGTTCATAGCGCAGCACGCTAACCATTGCACTACCGCTCCCCACTCACTCACAAACTTCATCAGAAGTATAGTATTTATCCAGCAGTAACTAAGTTACCCGGCTTAGCTCAGGTCTCAGTAATCAAACACTAAGAGTAATGTCTCTGCTTTTTTATGTAATTAAGGTATATCGTACCATATCGAGGCTTTGGGCTTTGGGTTGTTCTTTGTTTTTTATGTCTCTGCCTCTGCTTACATTCATTGACGATTTTTATGATTTTGGGCAAGCCCGTCTAAATCTGCGTGATTAGGAGTTGGAGCCATTTGCTGTTCATCTTGGCTTGTGACAGGAATTCACTCTGGCCCCATGCATTACATTACATAGCATCTTCATTAATTATGTAGTTTGAGAAGCTCACAATAGCCATATAAATAAATAGCATTCGTTACAGTTAAAATGATACGCGCATCGATGCCTGGTTATAGTTAAGGGATCGTTCCCTGGTCAACCATGTTATATCTGCTGATGATCTGGAAATGGCTACTCAAGGAGATGGGGTTAGATAATCTTGTTCTGTGCCTGGATAATTCCATCATGAAAGGTGGCCTTGCGTATGTTCCACCAAAATAAATCACCTGCCTGGGAATTTAATGTCATACAACACTGTACCTGCTCAACTCTCCATGAGTAATCAGGCAGTTCTACAAGTGGTGGAGGAGCTTCCATGCCTGGTTAATGTGTTCACGACCAGCTCTGGTTTGGCAGCCAAAGTCTCACTTTAAATTTGTCTAGCAGCATTCTTTCATTATACTGTGTAACACTGTGTGAAAGCTGCCTGGACTTTTGCTCCATACAAAGCTGTGAGTGTCCATCGCCAAGGTCTAGTCTGTCTGAGACCATCCCCTCTCCCTGTCATATTGGCATCGCACCCGCCTCTCACCCTTCGTCCTGTGGATGGTGGGCGCACAGGACGGTGCCACGCAGCCATTCCAGGTTGAGCCCAAATGGGTTTCGTGGGTCACCTAGCCACCAGGCATCGTTCCATGAGTGATATCAATATTTAATATCTGTAAGGAGTCCCCCCAATAGACTGTCCCTGGAACTCTACCAGGCACGTCTCACTGGGGGACATCCCAGGGGCCTGGCCCAGGACATTCTGGTGGGAATATGTCGCTTGGCTGGCTTTGGGAACGCCTGGGAATTCCCCAGGAAGAGCAAGAGTCTGTCGCCAGGGAAAGGGAGGTCTGGACTGCCCTACTGCATGTGCTGCTACCACAAACTTCACCAAGACAAGAGGATTTTGAAATAAATGAACGAATAGAGCTGTAATTCTTCTTGGCCACAGATATTACTCCTTTCTCTGTGGATGCAAAATATGAACTTATTTTAAGGCCTGTCTGTTCTGGCTTTTAATTAAGGCTGGCCTGGCGATGATCCCCTCTATTGAACCAAACAAGATTGTATTAACACCTTACAGAGCCCTAAAATATCAGTACTGAATATAATCTGAGACTTTGGCAGGCGAGGCTGCATTGGTTGGGTCATGAATTCCGCATAAACAGACAATGCTCAAGCATCTTCTGTTAGCCCAGATGTTACGAACTTAAACGGGCATGGCATTGGCTAGAGAAGAGATTGGAGGATGTGGAGTTGATCAGACCTGCTGTCAAGATCGGTCTCTAGAAAAGGCCCGTGACGTATGCTGCAGGGCAGTTGGAGGTATTTGCTCTGCAACAACAATGAGGTTGGAGTAGCAACGCTCACATGAATGGGTGGAACGCTGGGTTTCTGAAATGTAGCAAGACAGTAGGAAGCACAGCTGGTGCATCTGTTAATCATCTCCGTCAGTCATCCCTTGACACCTGGATCATTCCCATGACCTGCTGACAAGTGATCGACACTTAAATGGCATTCATGTGAAATATATGTGTATGTAAGAGTTTATACTGGTAGGAACGAAGTGGACCAGCCTACAATAGATTATATCGTCCGTCCGATGTCCGATTACGTGTAGCAACATCGCCCCCTACTGAAAACACTTGGCATAACCCTACAAAAACCTTTAGACTCTGTGAGGCTTTCCTGGCTAAACAAGTGTAACATTCCCTTATAATTCCCTCAGATAGCTTTTAATTAAACATTTAAATTAATGAGGCTTTCCTGGCTAAACACGTGTAACATTCCCTTATAATTCCCTGAGATAGCTTTTGATTAAAACTTTTTAATTAAATAAAAAACTCACAGCGCCCTAAACCCTACAGCTTGGCCTAAAGCCTAGAACTAGGCCTCAAAGTCTCCCTTCGTATCGTACCCCCGCGTGTGTGAAAGGGAGTTAATGTTTAACAATGTTACATTCCCTGATGTTTTAAAATAGAAACATTTACATTTCAATTTTTTACATTAATAATTAAAACATTTAAATTATACATTAATAATTAAAACATTTTAATTAAAAATTAACTCACAGCGCCTTAAAGCTTACAGCTAGACCTAAAGCCTAGAACTAGGCCTCAAATTCTCCCTTCGGATCGTCCGATTAGGTGTAGCAACATCGCCCCCTACTGCAAACACTTGGCAGGACCCTAGAAACACCTTTAGACTCAGTGGGGCTTTCCTAGCTAAACAAGTGTAATAATACATTATGTTTATATTCTTTGGTTATTCGTTCCTACCAGCCCACCCCGCAGGGTCCTGTTCTATGTGGGGAGCGGTGGCGCAGTTATTCCACTGTGTAACAAAAAACAAAATTAGTTCCTGGGTAGTTTGTGTTATTTCCTAATTGCTTTTGCCTCTAAAGTACAAACAATGGCTATTATTCCCCACAAACTTTGCTTTTGTGACCAGGACAGTGATATTTAGAAATTTACCTCTTTTCAATGAGAAAACAGGTTAATTTGTTTTTTTAGTTCTTGTATTATTCTGGTCACAAAAGCAATGTTTGTGGGGAATGAGCCATTTTCTAGACTTTTAGGCATAAGCAATAAAAAAATAACACTTAGTACCCAGGAACAAAAGTTGTGTTACATAGTGTTATCACAATTAAAGTTTGATTATCGCCAACAACAAACGTGATTGATTCGTGAAAACTTAACTTATTGTGGGGAAGCATTATTACGGAGCATATGAAGGTGGCCAGGCATGGTTCTGAACACACCACCACTTTTTTACCATGCCAGTGTCTGTTACAGTGTCAAGTTTGTATTTGCAGTAAAGGATATTAACTCGATTGAACACGGAGGTTAAATCAAAACAATAGTTTATTTTTGTTTTCCTTTGGAACTTTTTACGAGAATGGAAACAGGAAATTAACACTGAACATATGCAGCTGAAGTTAGATCTGTTCATCCCAGCATTCAAGGAAATCTGAGCCTGACTTCACACCTTTAAGTTTTGATTGAACATTAATTCATGCATTTATGCATAATACAAATAGTATTATTTTCAACACCCTTTGCTGTGTTAGCTGAATTTTGCTTTCATAAATATTCCTTTTGTAGCCAGACAACCGAAATTGTGTGCTTGGAGTTTTAGGTTAACATTCATTTTGAAGATACTAGGGCTTCCAGGCTGACCATTTGCCCTCTCATTGTGTGCCCGTGTGATGAATTTGGGAATCCTTTTCACTCTATCATGAATATATGAATGAGTATAGACGTGCAAGTCATGTGTGACTGTGTATATATGCATTCCTTTGTGCCTCGATACTGACGTAGATGGTCTGGATATTCTTTTTTTCTGTCTGCAGCTGACGCTTCCTCTGACACTTCCTCTGCAAAATTGGTTTGATGGAGCAAAGGCACTCAGCGCAGCTCGGTAGAAAAAGGCAACAATGCAACCAGTGTGCATACAGCACGGATCATGTTGGACATCTGACACAGCACCAGAGAACTCACACAGGAGAGAAACCCTTCAAGTGCAGTGTGTGTGGGAGGGCATTTACACGGTCATCAGGTCTTCATAGACACCAGAGAACACACACCGGAGAGAAACTCTTCACGTGCACTGTGTGCTGGAAGGCGTTTTCACAGTCATCTGGTCTTGTATCACACCAGAAAACACACACGGGAGAGAAACCCTTTAGTTGCATTCTGTGCGGGAAGGCGTATGCACAATTACAACATCTACAAAAACACCAGAGAACACACACGGGAGAGAAACCCTTCAGTTGCACTCTGTGTGGGAAGGCGTTTGCACAATCACAACATCTACAAAAACACCAGAGAACACACACGGGAGAGAAACCCTTCAGTTGCACTCTGTGTGGGAAGGTGTTTGCACAATCACAACATCTACAAAATCACCAGAGAACACACACGGGAGAGAAACCCTTCAGTTGCACTCTGTGTGGGAAGGCGTTTTCACAATTACCACATCTACAAATACACCAGAGAACACACACGGGAGAGAAACCCTTCAAGTGCACTGTGTGTGACAAGGCATTTTCATATTCATCAGTTCTAAAGAAGCACCAGAGAACACACACGAGAGAGAAACCCTTCAGTTGCACTCTGTGTGAGAAGGCGTTTGCACAGGCATCTGCTCTTGTATTACATCAGAGAACTCACACGGGAGAGAAATCCTTCAGGTGCACTGTGTGTGACAAGGAATTTTTATATCCATCAGTTCTAAGGAACCACCAGAGAACACACACGGGAGAGAAACCCTTCAGTTGCAGTCTGTGTGAGAAGGCGTTTGCACAGTCATCAAAACTTAAACATCACCAGAGGACACACAAGCATCCGAAGATCCCCAAGAAATGGAGTCTGAAATCGGCTTGTGAAAGTCAAAGTGCTGCAATGAGCCCATCCCTCATGAAACCAGAAGTGAATCCCAGCTTGGACACTTTTAAAGGTATCAAGGTGAAATGTGAAGAAGTGATGGTGAAGAGCGAAGAAGTGAAGGTAAAATGTGAAGATGAAGATTCAACTCCAAAATCGTACCTTCACATCGATGGAGACAACGTGAAGCAGGAGGAGAATTCTGACTGTGAGGCAGAGCGAGGCACCTCCCAGCAGTTGGTGGAAGTGGAGGTGTGGGTGGACTTCTTAGACAATATAAAGTCAAATGGAGACCCGGTAGATGTTTTAAGCTTGAGACAATGAAGCTGCAATAGATTCACCTTTGTCACAGGCCTTTAATGAAAAGAATGTGAAGTTGAACACTCAATTCCTGGGTTCAACCTGCAGAGTAAGAGCGGCGAGTATTTGTTGACCTGTGGGTTGGGTAGATGAATAATCAGGAGCAAGAGCCAATAAGCTCCCAAGTATTCCACTGTTATATTCATATTTGCATTGATATGGTGCTTGCTTAATTGCTTCAGCAACTCGGTTGTTTCATATCTCATCACAGACACTCGAAGAGCACCCCCAAGTGGCATGACTCTTGTGTAATAAGGTGACCCTGCTCTAGCCTGCATGTGGGCATGAGTCTGTCAGTAGGGGGTGATGATCGATGTGGAATCTCCATTATGTAATTTCTGGATAATGTTTGGAATTGCCCAAATATTGACCATGACACCAACATGCAATGACCTCTGTGTTATGAATGACAATAGTATGTTTTACATCCACTGTTAAGCAGATGGTGCATATTTTGTTTAATGTTACTGGAGTAGCCAGACGTGCATGTTGGATTTGAACCTTGAACCTCTGCAATAAATAGAGAATGTGCTGCCACTTGGCTTCCCTCAATCTGAGTGTAGGCATGACAGCCTGAATGTTTCTACCTGGTGCAGATGTTCCATTTAGAGCGGTCCACGTTTCACATGCCTACAGAAGGGAGGGCATGACTGGCCGATAAGAACCGAAGCTTCATGCGGAGCGACAGACCAGGTAGCTTCCACACAACATAGCGCAGCCGATGAAATGATAATGCCGCCCGACTGATTAGGACCACCCACACACAGTGTACACACGCCATGTACACAGCGTACACACAGTTTACCCACACCGTATACAAACAGTCTGTACACGCACAGTGTATATACAGTAACAACAACCGCCATTCGCCACTAAGTGGCGGTGACGTCACGACGGCGCTTGTGCCAGGCTATGTGCACGGGGCAGATCCAGGTGTAATGTGTCGACTCACTGAGATGAGTGGCCAATGCACCACCTGTGCCCCCCACTGCGCTAACAAACAGTGTACACACACAATGTTGACGCACACAATAATGTTCACGTTTTTGTTGAGCTCACGCACCCAATGGGTCTCTGTTCAAGAGAGGGAGCCATAGAAATGGAATCTAAATTAACTTAAACTCTAACCCTGATCTCGCTCTCTGACGTCACCACTTATTAACTCTGCTTGAGACGCGAGGGGGAGGTGTCCCCCACTAGTGACGTCATGTCACCGAGGTATATACCCCCCAAATCCCCCTCCACCGGGATTTTGAGCGTGACGTCACGTCTGCCCATTTCCGTTCCAGTAAAATGCTTATTTGGGACGGGGTCAGCAGCCAAGCACCATCACCTGACATGGGCCCCTCTCATTAACATAATATATTCAGTTACCCTGCTGCTCGTTGGAGCAGGGGATTGTGTGAACCTCGCAAATGACGTCATGTCACCTCATGCTGCCGCATGACGTCATGAGCTACCAGGTTGCTGCTGCTGCGCGCACGCTCGCTCACTGAGATCCGAGGTGAGAAGTTTACATCGTGGTGGTTGTTGTTGTTGTGGTGGTTGTTGTTGTTGTGAACCCAGGTAGAGCCTCGCTCCTACTCCCTCGTAGGGATATCAATTGATTAGCAGCGAGTACGGAATCGATGTCCAGATTGAAACATTACAACGCGGGGCCTAGCCATACGGGGACTTGCCTCCTGCCCTCGCCTGATTATATTTGCATTAATTCTCTGCTTAAGTTTAATTTGTCTTCACCTGGCTCACTACTTTGAAACTTTGTTTTACTTGAAATATTTCTACGTTTTTATTTTACCAGGCATAGCCCACTTGAGCTACACTGCTCGTTTTCAGAAGCGACCTGCCCACAACACAGTGGGCTGATCAACTTGTGGAAATGTTTATCGGTCAAATACTCTAAACGCGTGGTGATGTTGACTCTAAATGTGCAGGGAAAACCGCAGGATCCGGAGGAGAATCCACGCGACCACGGAGACAGAGGGACACGCAAACTCCAAATATACAGCCATAACACAGGTTTGTTTGGGATTGATCGCGTAAATAAATAAATGTGCCGTTAACCCCGCCACCACCCGACAGCCAATTAGTAAGGGTTTGTCACGTAAACAGAACGTGGCCAATGCGTCACAAGTACAGCACTAGTGTGTAGTGTATAGTAGTGTATAGTGTAGTGTATGATAGTGTATAGTGTGTGTACTAGTACAGCATATCGGTGTGTTGAAGAGCCAAGCCACAACATTTACAATCTGAGTACAACGTTGTGACACTAATTCCAACCAGCTTCATCAGACGACAGCCACATTTTGTGGCTTGGCTCTGTGGGAATAGAAATCGGCTCGCTGGGTTCATAGCGCAGCACGCTAACCGTTGCACTACCGCTCTCCACTCGCTCACAAACTTCATCGGAAGTATAGTATTTATCCAGCAGTAACTAAGTTGCCCAGCTTAGCTCAGGTCTCAGTAATCAAACACTAAGAGTAATGTCTCTGCTTTTTTATGTAATTAAGGTGTATCGTACCATATCGAGGCTTGGGGTTTTGGGTTGTGCTTTGTTTTTTATGTCTCTGCCTCTGCTTACATTTATTGACGATTTTTATGATTTTGGGCAAGCCCGTCTAAAGCTGCGTGACCAGGAGTTGGAGCCATTTGCTGTTCAACTTGGCTTGTGACAGAAATTCACTCTGGCCCCATGCATTACATGACATAGCATCTTCATTAATTAAGTAGTTTGAGAAGCTCACAATAGCCATATAAATAAATAGCATTAGTTACAGTTAAAATGATACAATCATCGATGCCTGGTTATAGTTAAGGGATCGTTCCCTGGTCAACCATGTTATATCTGCTGATGATCTGGAAATGGCTACTCAAGGAGATGGGGTTAGATAATCTTGTTCTGTGCCTGGATAATTCCATCATGAAAGGTGGCCTTGCGTATGTTCCACCAAAATAAATCACCTGCCTGGGAATTTCATGTCATACAACACTGTACCTGCTCAACTCTCCATGAGTAATCAGGCAGTTCTACAAGTGGTGGAGGAGCTTCCATGCCTGGTTAATGTGTTCATGACCAGCTCTGGTTTGGCAGCCAAAGTCTCACTTTAAATTTGTCTAGCAGCATTCTTTCATTATACTGTGTAACACTGTGTGAAAGCTGCCTGGACTTTTGCTCCATACAAAGCTGTGAGTGTCCATCGCCAAGGTCTAGTCTGTCTGAGACCATCCCCTCTCCCTGTCATTTTGGCATCGCACCCCCCTCTCACCCTTCGTCCTGTGGATGGTGGGCGCACAGGACGGTGCCACGCAGCCATTCCAGGTTGAGCCCAAATGGGTTTCGTGGGTCACCAAGCCACCAGGCATCGTTCCATGAGTGATATCAATATATAATATCTGTAAGGAGTCCCCCCAATAGACTGTCCCTGGAACTCTACCAGGCACGTCTCACTGGGGGACATCCCAGGGGCCTGGCCCAGGACATTCTGGTGGGAATATGTCGCTTGGCTGGCTTTGGGAACGCCTGGGAATTCCCCAGGAAGAGCTAGAGTCTGTCGCCAGGGAAAGTGAGGTCTGGACTGCCCTACTGCATGTGCTGCCACCACAAACCTCACCAAGACAAGAGGATTTTTAAATAAATGAACGAATAGAGCTGTAATTCTTCTTGGCCACAGATATTACTCCTTTCTCTGTGGATGCAAAATATGAACTTATTTTAAGGCCTGTCTGATCTGGCTTTTAATTAAGGCTGGCCTGGCGATGATCCCCTCTATTGAACCAAACAAGATTGTATTAAAACTTTACAGAGCCCTAAAATATCAGTGCTGAATATAATTTGAGACTTTGGCAGGCGAGGCTGCATTGGTTGGGTCATGAATTCCGCATAAACAGACAATGCTCAAGCATCTTCTGTTAGCCCAGATGTTACGAGCTTAATGGGCATGGCATTGGCTAGAGAAGAGATTGGAGGATGTGGAGTTGATCAGACCTTCTGTCAAGATCGGTCTCTAGAAAAGGCCCGTGACGTATGCTGCAGGGCAGTTGGAGGTATTTGCTCTGCAACAACAATGAGGTTGGAGTAGCAACGCTCACATGAATGGGTGGAACGCTGGGTGCCTGAAATGTAGCAAGACAGCAGGAAGCACAGCTGGTGCATCTGTTAATCATCTCCGTCAGTCATCCCTTGACACCTGGATCATTCCCATGACCTGCTGACAAGTGATCCACACTTACATGGCATTCATGTGAAATATATGTGTGTGTAAGAGTGTATCTATGTGGGGAGCGGTGGTGCAGTTATTCCACTGTGTAACTGGGTAGTTTGTGTTATTTCCTAATTGCTTTTGCCTCTAAAGTACAAAAAATGGCTATTATTCCCCACAAACTTTGCTTTTGTGACCAGGACAGTGATATTTAGAAATTTACCTCTTTTGAATGAGAAAACAGGTTAATTAGTTTTTTTAGTTCTTGTATAATTCTGGTCACAAAAGCAATGTTTGTGGGGAATGAGCCATTTTCTAGACTTTTAGGCATAAGCAATAAAAAAATAACACTTAGTACCCAGGAACAAAAGTTGTGTTACATAGTGTTATCACAATTAAAGTTTGATTATCGCCAACAACAAACGTGATTGATTCGTGAAAACTTAACTTATTGTGGGGAAGCATTATCACGGAGCATATGAAGGTGGCCAGGCATGGTTCTGAACACACCACCACTTTTTTACCATGCCAGTGTCTGTTACAGTGTCAAGTTTGTATTTGCACACGGAGGTTAAATCAAAACAATAGTTTATTTTAGTTTTCCTTTGGAACTTTTTACGAGAATGGAAACAGGAAATTAACACTGAACATATGCAGCTGAAGTTAGATCTGTTCATCCCAGCATTCAAGGAAATCTGAGCCTGGCTTCACACCTTTAAGTTGTGATTGAACATTAATTCATGCATATGCATAATACAAATAGTA